GTTAATTTTGGCCGAAATTACGGAATCGGACCTTAATTTCCGCAATTGTCCGCAATATTGTAAATCGCAATTATTCCGCAATTGCCTATTTGCAGACCCATCCTTAGCTATTACAAAAATTGTGTAATATGTCTTTTTATATAGTTTAAAGTAATATAATCAATTGCTAAAATCTTGATAATCTTTTTATGTAATGATAAAAAAAAGCTATAATGATATATTCTAAGATGTCTGTTATGTTATTTTAACAAAAATAATCCTGCTAATCACATAGTTTTTCAACAGGTATTTTTAGCAATTCCAAAGATTATATGTAATAGAAATTCTGAAGAAGAAACTTGTTAGGCTATGCATTATTTGTGAAGTAAAAGAAGTAGAGGGGTTTAAAAAAAGTTTTAAAGATTTATAGCAACACTAAATATAAAGCCTTGTAAAACAAAACTATAGATTCTACCTGAAAAGTAAATATCATCCAATTTTGTTATAATCACTACATGAGTTATATAGTAACACTGTTTGATCTTTGTGAATATAGGTACAAAAAGACAGTGAAAATCTAAGATAAATTGATTATGAAGAGAATTTGTGATAATAGCAAATCTGAGCTAATAATAGAAGAAATTAACTTGATATTAAAGGTTAGTAATAATAAGAGAGTCAGTTAAATTGATTTTGTTAGAAGTGTTAGATCGAAGGTATAGATTTTTTATACAAGAGAAAAATAAAATAAAATAAAATTGCTGATTTATGATTAGAAGTTATTTTAGGTGAATATAAACCTGAAGAATCATCAAAGCAATTATTATTTAATTTTCAAATTTTAAATAAAGTGATATTAATATTATTAAATTTAATAATAAAATTGAGCCAATCAAAATTAATTATTTTAGTGATAATTAGGAAATGATCGACATACAAATTGACCAATCATACAAATGTCTTGATTTTTGTAAGCATGTTTTCTATAATTAAACTTAAATACATTACTTTAGAAGAAATTCAAATATAAATAATAAATTAAAAATCTTAATACAGATTATTTTCACATATTTAGACTGAACAGAAGAGTAACATATTTATTTTTTACAGGTAATCTATTCATCTAGACATTGTATAAACGTTTAATTTACAATTATCTCATGCATGACAATTTTTTAGACGATGGAACATTGAGCGTATTAGATTGACACCCGTTATAAGTGGAATAATGGTGTCCACGATTACTAGGGTAGTGTTCGTAATTTTTTAATTTATAGAGCAGTTCATTCCATAGATATTATTAATGAAGATTTAATGAAGTACTTGTGGCTCAAGCAGGGAATATTTCTGGTAGGAGTAGTGCGTTATTATAATATCTGACAATTCTCGAGCCATCAGGGACATACATATGTTCTAATCTTCACGATATTATTTACGCTAACGTGTATTGGAGTTAACTTGATTTTTTTTTAATAAGGTTTACGTAAACACGATTATGTTTGCTAATAATAAAAGAAAGAGCATATTATTCTACGCTTTTATACATTATGTACAGTAAGTATATTTTCTTTATTGATTGGATTATTAAATCTAGTTTTTAAAAAAATAATTTTTTTCCTTTAGAAGTCTTATTGCCGGGATCCTTTAATGATATTCACCGATATGATTAGGTCGGGTATGGATTTAATAAATCAATTAAATATTGGAATATCTCTCTCTATTGAATTCGAGATAAAATAAAACAAAGGTGATTTATATTTTGGTTACTTTTTGATTTTATTAATTAGGATGTTGCGACGAGTACGAGTTTTCTTCTATATTAATATCCGTTATTAATTTCATCTTTAGAATTCTTAAGACTTTATCACCAATATTGCTATTTACAGTCAAAATTTTGTTTTTGATCTACTTCAATTTCTATAAATTTGTTGCTGATTTGCTTCGTTTAGAATGTTGGGAATATTTAATCCTTTAGATTTATAATGATTATTAAGCCATTGTTTTGTTTGATAATGAATATGTAATTTTGCAACTGGATGAGGATGAAGAGTTTTCAAATTTATAAATGGTTCATCTTGTTTAGGAGTAAAAATTATATCAGCAGGATCAAAATCGAGGTCTTCCCCACAAGTTGTAAGTCGTTCTTGATTATTATTATTAGTTTTCCAATTAGTCCTTTTTTCCGGCATTTTTTTAGCTTTATAAATGTATACGGAAATAGCTCCTAATTGACCTTTATTTTTTGTGATTTTTGATGGAGTAATTCTTGGTATATTTGATACGAAAACATTATCATCCTTCCAATTTGCTGAATCAAATTTAAATAAATGAAAGACTGATTTGTTATGATTGTAAAAACCATACATATAGGTATATGGTTCGTTCTTTGGATCAATTTCCATATGTGTATTATCATTTTTTCCATCAACAACATGTTCCCCTTTAAACAAGTTCGGATCTTTTGTAGAATGTATTCCAACTCTAATAGCAAAATGACAGTTAGACTCCGGAACTGCAACATAAGTCACATTTTTACTAAAAAATAAACGAAAGATAATAATTATAAGATTTGGGTGTGTAGAAAAATAAAGTGTAAGAATAAATAAACCTTTTTTACCTTTCTATATTTAGAAACTCTCTTTTATTAATAGATTCTCGAGAATAAGATACCAACTTTGTATTCTAAAATAAATAAAATTTAATTTAATTTAGAGCTTTATTTCGTATGTGAATTATTTTAATATAATCTTTACATCATCTTTTGGTATTTCATATTCCGGAAGTACTTTATTTTCAATAAGAATTTCAAGTGAAAAATCTCCAAGACGCATTTTGATTTTGTTTTTAGAAAGAAAATATTTGATTTGTTTTTTTTTTTTTTTTTTTTTTGTAAAACGCGCTTTTTATTAAATTAAATATAACATGGGACCGGATCCAATTTGTGAATTTCAATAATAGATCCTTCATCCCCTGTTACACTATTGATTTTTTGAAATTATTAAAACAATAACTAGCATAATATATTTTTTACAATTCTTATTTTTACTTAAAAAAAATACTTATTATAACTTTTATTATATTATAACAATTATTATTTATATTTAAATTCTATATTTTTTTTTAAATTTTACATTATTTAATATTTATAAGTATAAATTTATAAATAAAAAATTTTTTTATTACAAAATAGTAAATGTTATTACCAAATTTTTTTATTTTAGTTTTTATATTAATTATTAAAGTTTAAAATTTTTAATCTTAATAATTTGTTTATCTTAAAAATATCTTTTTAAGTATTTATTTTTTTCTTATAGTGGCTGATTTTTTTGTCTAAAGCTTTCCAGATATGTGGAAGACCAATTTATATCTCCAGCACGTCTTCTTCTACCACCCTCTAACTTATCAGGTATCTTATAAGATTATTATAGTTAATTGAGTAACAGCAAGATTTAATTCAATTTTTACAATTATTTAGGGAAGACTTTAATTAACTTAAACTTCTCTTGATATCAGTGTACTTTTATGATTAAGTTTCTAAATTGGCAAGTATGTAAACTTTCAATTTACTATAGTGATTCGTAATTTTCCAAGATATTAAAGAAATTATCTTGTTAACGTTATAATAAACTTATTATAACCAAGTAAATAATGCTCAACTTAAAGTATTTCACAATTTAAATACTTTAACTTGTTGGTGACACTTAAACACAGTGGTTGACACAAAGCAGATGTTTAACACTTAAGAGATTTATTGACACAAATAAATCAATAAGATTAAACATAGTTAACACTCAGTAATTTGACACAAAATTTGTTTGACACAGGTAATCGATTTGCTGAGACAATTTAGTAAAGATTTTTATTAACTTATAAATTATCTTTGAAATTTCCTAAGTTTTACTCTTTAAATTTCTTCCTAAATTTCTATTGATATATGATGAAAACTCAGCTTATTTATAATAAAATTTCTGCACTAAATTGTTATCTATTGCATAAAAACTATGTAATGATTTCCTCAACTTTTTCTATGTAATTCTGTTATAATAATTAAGTAATGATTACCTAATCACTATGCAATAGTCCTATAACTATAGTATATATATATTTGAAGAGATGTAGAGAATATAATTATATGGGGCCTTTGCAATAAAAAAGGGAGAAACTGCCGGGAAAAATTAATTTTACTTTTATATGCCAAATATGATTTTTATGCTGAAATATGTTCAAATTTAGCATTAACACACTTTTGATTTTTCCAGCTATTTCCCCCCTTTCTATTGCAAAGGTCCCATATTATTCTTAAATTATTACTATATCTTTATACTTAGCTTTTGAATAGTTTTTTCTTGAAGTTCCCATTTAGAATTTCTAGTTTAGAAGATTATGCATGTCATTATAGACTAATGATCTATTACTTTATTTCTTCATTAACTGATTTGATTAATTTCACAGATCACTTTTTGCAGATCATTGTGTTATTGATTTTGTAGATCAATTCACATGATGATCATTTGTAAATCATTTTTACTGTGCCATATGTCCAATTTTTTAAAGATTATTTGGTTTACAATATAAAGAATATTGATGAAAAAAATAAGATAACATTGTATTTGAGCAATTATAAAAAAAAGCAGAAAAGGAGTATTAATATTATAATAATAATTAGGATTTCACAATTCGATTTGATATTTGAATATTTAATTTGAAAATCAAATCAAATACAAATTCAAATTAATAACTGATTCGATTTGATCAAATTCAAATTAAAGAAAAAATTATTTGATCTAATATAAATTAATATTTGATTTGATTTGATCAAATTCAAATTAAAAAATTTTATTTGATTAAATACAAATTAATCTTTAAATATTTGATTTGATTTGCAAATTGTATACTATAAATACTTTAATATGGTTGAAGCTTTATATAGCAAATTTTAATTTTTAGAGGATACGATTTGTTATAATAAGAAAATTCAGTAAAGTTATATTAAATTATTTGTTATATTTATTATATGATTATTATTATACTTAAAATTAATAAAAAAATTTATTTTATTAGAAATTATTTTTATTAGTAATTAAATTTATTGTTCATAATATAAAAATAAAAAAATAATTAAATGTTTGCAATATGTATTAAATAATAATAAAATAATAATAATAAATGTTCGCAAAATTTATATAAATAAGATAAAAAATGTTTAATATAGAAAAAATAATTAAAAAAGCAAAATAAGAAAATTGTTTGTAATATATATATATAAAAAAAAAAGAAAAAGTTCGCAAATATATAAAAAAGAAAAAAAAGAAAAAAAAATTACAAATATATATATAAAAAAAAGAGAAAAAATTAATCACAAATATATAAAAAGAAAAAAAAAGAAAAATATTTGTAAATAAATATATATATAAAAAAGAAAGGAAAAAGAAAATTGTTTATAAATATATATAAAAAAGAAAAAAAGAAAAGAGTTTGCAAATATATATAAAAAAGTAAAAAAAAAGTAAAAAATGTTTATAAATAAATATATATAAAAAAAGAAAGAAAAAAGAAAAATTGTTTGTAAATATATAAAAAAGAAAAAAAGAAAAGAGTTTGTAAATATATATAAAAAGGAAAAAAAAGAATGTTTGGAAAAAATAATAAAAAAATGTTTGTATATTAAAAAAGAAAAAAAAATGTTTGAAAAAAAAAAGAAAAAAATTTATAAAAAAAGGAAAAAAAAGAAAATTGTTTGCAAATACATAAAAAAAGGAAAAAAAGAGAAAAGATATTTGTTTGTTATAAAATAAAAATAAAAAATAAAAAAAAATTTACAAAATAATAACATTATTATTAATGATGTTATTAATAATGATGGTGGTGATATTGGTGATGTTGGTGGTGTTAATGGTGTTGGTAGTGTTGTTGTTATTGTTGTTATTATCATTATCATTGTCATTGTTGATTACTATTATGTCTGAGGAAGACAGGCTAGGCTAGCTTCTCTTTCAGTTTTACGTTGTCTTCCTAAAAAATTTATTATAATTGAATAACTTTTACATAAATACTCCTTCACATTAAAACAAAAGGATTTAAAATTATAGTTAAACAAATTTCTTACCTCCTTGGGCATCCTGTTATTCTTGAACCCTTGTGGTTCTTCATTATTTATAATCATGAATATTGTCTAAATAGTATTAAAATATAAATATAATTAATATTAAAGCATAAAATAAAAATATATATCATCAAAATATAAATATATTAAAGTTATTCTTATTTACCTGGCAACTTCCAGAAGCACATATCAAATTCGTCAAAATATTTTCTACTAGCCTGACTTTTCTTTTCCTTGAGATTATTAGCCCGTTTTAATCGTAAGTCCTAAGAAAAAGAAAAAAAGAGAAAAAAGAAAAAATTTATTAAAATTACTTATATTTAATGCATGTTTTCTTTTGTTTTTATATTATTTTGCTTACATCATATTGGGTAACTAAGGAACTGAACTTTCTTTGGTAATGAAGGCCTGTAAAGCTAATTCCACAAGTATGATTTACCGTAACTGCAACGCTTCTTCAAAATTCTTTTTTAGAGGTACCTTCTATATCATAATATTTCTAGAAAAATATATATATAATTAATCTTAACTATTTAAAAAGCAATTTGTACATATTATATATATATATTATAAATAAAGTATTTACTTGGTTGTGATTTTTTTGCTCATCAATGAGTGCGCGTGTTGATTCATTTGTCCATTTGCCATGAATTACACGAGTTGAATGAGCAGAAGAAGCAGAAGAAGTTGAAGAGGTGACATTTGATAAAAACATTTTGTTAAAATTAAAATTTTATTTAATTTAATAAAAAATAAAAAAAAACCTTACTTATATATATAAATTATATAATACGTATGAATATTCGAACAATTGAATGATTTATTCAACTTTTACTTTGTAAAAAGCTTTTACTTGAAATATCTAATATGTCAACATTTTTGTATGAAATTTATATTATTCGTTTGAAATTTATTTTGCGACA